CCCCCCCCAATCTTGCCTCCTACTCTGGGCTCCAGACTCTTTCTGAAGCCTTTCTACTTGTTCTACTGCTACTCCGTGGCTCTTTATTACAGTCTTTCAGCCACATCCCTTATCTTAAGATAGGTAAGACCTAACATAATCTTCTCAGATAAGGGCGTAAAATCACGGGGGATCCTGTGTGCAAGCTGCGCACGTTAAAGATCTCTTGCTAGTTCAAAATCGATTCTAAGGTCCGGTAATAACCATTGTCAAGCGCATAAAATAAACAATAGTGTATGCCGTGCAGTGTAGAAATGCGCATCTGGGGTCTCGTTTGCCATGAGTCATGAGGCCACATTAAATTGAGTTGTAGTGACGTCATTCACGAAAATCGTTTTTAATTTATTACAAGAATGGAGAATAGAAACAAGTTACTTTCACAGATTCAATTGTATCTCAAATGACCACATATCTGTCTGCCCCGGTCAATATCAGCCGAAAGACGCAGTGTGCTATCATCAGCTACGAGGCTCGAAAGGCAAAAGAGTGACTGTCCAGGAGTTGCTGTTGTTTGTTTTTTATCATATGAAAGTTTCATGTTTTCTGCTTCATTTCAGATAAAAAATAAACAACTATAATCGACTATAAATATTTTATCTTGATTTATTTTGGAGGTGTGTGTGGTTTGTTGTCAGCTTGGGTGACGAGATTTTAAGGAATTAATTGGACCTTGTTGGTTGTAACTGTGAGATTATTTTTAGAACCATTACATCATGGCCACCTTTGCTTCAACCAAAGATTCTCCACTAGTGGAGAATCTTTGCCCCAACGTTCTTTATTCGCAACTATTTTTAGATTTTTACCAATTTTCGAACTTGAATTTTCTGAAATGTAAACAACTGTGATTGGTAAAACGGAGTAAAAACGGTAACTTCTGGCTCACTTCAAGCTTGTTTACGTAAACAGCTGACTGTGTGGGTGTGCCCTGCTAGCTGCTATCGTCTGTTGATCTTTTAGTTTTATGCTTGGATTGACTTTAAAAATTCGTTTTTATTGTGTTTTATAGAGCTTTTAAAAGATTACTTAACCTTCCTCTAGATCTCTCAGAGCGGACTCCTTGCCAAGAGGCCACCGAGGCGGTCTATGTGCGTGTGTGTGTATGTGTGCTGGTGTGTTTGTCTGTTTGTGTATGTGAGTGTGTGCGTGTCTGTGGGTGCGCGCGCGCGCGTGTGTGTGTGTGTGTGTGTGTGTGTGTGTGTGTGTGTGTGTGTGTGTGTGTTAGTGTGTGTGTACTCTCGTGTGTTTATGGTGCTATCACAAAAGTATAATTTGGTACCGTAAACACGGCACGTAAGCCGACTCCCTGCCTTCCGAGGGTATGTTTTCGGTAAAATGGGGGTAATTTAGATCTCTGTTTCTTTGCTCTTTTGCTAGAAAACTCCAAATGCTGAACACTTTGAAAAAAGTTCAGATTTTATTCGTTACAATAGTGTACGTTGTTTGTTTATCCGCGTATTTGGAGCTGGAGAATCGCCGTGGAAAGGGAAGCCTGTGGTCGGAATGCGAGGTTCCCCGATTCAAAATTGACACCCATGCATTCGAATGCTTTGCAGAAAGATTGATGATTAATTAAGACCGTCTCTTCATTGGCGGAGAACTATACAGCTTTCAGCGTGGTTTCCTGTGGTTTTTACTTTTGGCCTTTGGCGTTTAGATAGAACACCTTGAAAAAAAGGGGTCTAAGTTTTCAAAGATAATTTTTAACATGAAATGTGTAAATATATACCGGCAAAACAAATATACCAATAGACAGAACAGTTCTTCTTCTATTAGAATAAAGTCATCGGCTTGAAATTATTTTGCAGGAATCATTTTGCGAAACTACCGGGAGCACTCAGTATACTACAGCCATAGAGTACTATAGTGTACATCTATCTATGACTACAGTAGTAAACTTTCTGACTCTGACTACAGTATTGAGGCGGCTCGCTCGCCACCGGCCGAGACAACGCTCGGTGTTTTTATTGGAATAACGACAGATCATCGGTGTTTTTATTGGAATAACGACAGATCATCGGTGTTTTTATTGGAATAACGACAGATCATCGTGTTTGAGGCAATAAAATACTGATTTATAATGATCTCAAAATCTTGAAAAATACTAGATCTAGGCTTCATTTCTATGTTATAGTGAATGTAATCTTTTAATGTAGAGAAGATGTTTGGTGCACTTGGTACTCTTTTACTGTCTGTCAAACATGGGGTTGCAGCCAGTTAGCGACTGTACCAATATTTGATTATTATGTTGAATTGAAACAGCTGCCATTCTCTTAAACATTGACGGAAAGGTACAAGTTTGGTACCACAATTCTCAGGAGACATAGGCCTTTCATATGAAACAGTTGAATTTGACATACAGCTACTTTGAAAATGTAGTGTTTGTTACCTAGAATAATGTTAATGTTTTGCTGCTTTTGACGTGAAGTCCATTCTCGTTGGAAATTTGGTTTGGTTCATAAGTTTTTTTCTCTGGAAATGAATAGTTTTCTACTTTTGTATGTTACCTTGTAGTGGCATAGCCAAGATAACTGCTAAATTCCAAGTCTCTATCTCAATTCTAAGACACCCATTGCTATGGGAACATATTGCTCAACTTTGGTGACCATTTTCTCCTTTTCGTGTTTCCTCACCTGGCACAATTAAAAGTTCTGTAATTTCGTCAAATATGGTCATATTTACTTCATTCTTGTTTTAAATTGTAGGGAAAAGGTGATCGTTTTTGAAAATAATGTTCACTCAGTTTTGAAATTACCTTCATAATGACTGATATTGACCGGCAGGGACACATAATGAAATGATTAAATCTATGGTAAAACAATTTCATGTCGATACCAAGCTCGAAAAAAAAAATAATAAAAAAATAATAATAATAATAATAATGATGATGATAATAATAATAATAATAATAATAATAATAATGATAATGGTAATAATAATAATAATAATAATAAATAATTCTTGCGATTTTTGAGGGAATGGAACTCAAACACCAAAGGGAACATAGATGTATGCCAACACTAATAACTATGCTTCTCTTTGTTTGTATGTTTGTTTGTTTGTTTGTTTGTTTGTTTGTTTGTTTGTTTGTTTGTTTGTTTGTTTGTTTGTCTGTTATTTGTGTTGAGGTTTTTGTTTTTATTGGCGGAGGTATATTATGTCTGTTTGTTTTGTTTTTGTTGTTGCTGTTTTTTGTTGCAGTTTTTCTTAATTAAAAACAAACACGCAGAATTCCCGGTCGTGCTGTCATACGAGACTTTCTTGTTATTGGATTTTCCCCGCGCTGGCAAATCTGGCGCGGTGTTGGGCCAAATGATGTATCAATAAATCAAGGGACCCGAGCGGGTTCATTTTGCTTCACGTCGCATTATATTACTGTTCTAACTGGTGATCAACTGACTATTGATGAAACCTTGACACCGTGTCGCAAACATTCAGTTGAAAGAGCCGAGTGAATCTCTTTCAGACAGACAGACAGACAGACAGACAGACACACAGACAGACAGACAGACAAATACAGAGAGCGAGAGAGTCAGAAAGAAGGGCCCACCAAATCAACAAATCAGCCTGTGTGACACAATTGCATTGTTTACAATGACACATGTCCGTTGCCATGACAACGGTCTACACAAACCATTTCACAGTTCATCAAGTCTACGATGAATAAAAGGGACTTCATGTACAGGCTACAGAGTTTGGGTAGGCCTACGTCACTGTTACACGTCATTGTCATGTTGTGTATACAAATAAATGCCGGCTGTACGAACGACACACGAGTGGGAACGTGGGGCGAGGCGAATGGTAGCAGGGCGACCTCAGGAGTGTAACGCACTGCTTCATCGGTCAAAATATCCTCTACATATAATTTGTTAATTACTGCATTGGTACAAT